ATTCTAGGGCTGTCATAACAAGTAGCCCAGACTGTGGCTGATACAACAGAAACTTCTCTCCTCAGAACTCGCGGTCAGAAGTCCGACATTAGGGTGTTGGCAGGGTTGGTCTGAGGCCTCTCTCCTGGCCTTGTGGGTGGCTGCCTTCTCCTGTGTGTGTGCCCACCTCGTCCTCCCTCTGTGTCTTTTGGTGTCCTGATTGCTTTTTTTTAAAGATTTTATTTATTTATTTGATAGAGAATGAGAGAGAGAGAGACCATGAGAGGGGGGAGGGCCAGAGAGAGAAGCAGACTCCCCGCTGAGCAGGGAGCCCGATGCGGGACTCGATCCCGGGACTCCACGATCATGACCTGAGCCGAAGGCAGTCGCTTAACCGACTGAGCCACCCAGGCGCCCCTGATCACTTTTTATAAGGACACCAGTCATATTGGATTAGGGCCTACCCTGATAACCTCATTTTAATTTATCTCTTTTTTTTTCATATAGTCTTTCTCTTTCTCTGATTTATTTCGCTTAGCATAATACTCTCTAGCTGCATCCACGTTGTTGCAAATGGCAAGATTTTATTCTTTTTTTATGGCTGAGTAATAATCCATTGTATATATGTAACACATCTGTTTTTCCCTCAGATCTAGAGTTTGGGTTCGGTTTAGGGCCAGCGTAATGGTTAAGGTGTTAGGGTTGGGGACAGTGTGAAGGTATCTGCCTATTATCCTGCAGTTCAGAGACCTCTGTGGAGGGATAACTTTAGAGTTAGGGTTATCATTAGGGTTAGGGGTTAGGGGCTAGGGTGAGGGTATGGGTATGTGCCTGGTATCCTGCTGTTGAGAGATCTCTCCAGAGGGTTCAGTTTAGCGTTAGGGTTAGGGTTATGGGTTATATTACCTCTTTAAACACCTGCCTCCAAATGCAATCACATTCTGAGGAATTGGGGGTTAGGACTTCAACGTCTGAGTTTTAGGGGGACACAGTTCACACAGTTCAGCCCCTCACCCCACTGAAATGGATTACTAATCCATCAGTATTGCCATGGGTGAGGCTGCATGCGGGTGAAGGTGGGCTGTGTGTGCTGAGGGCACCTCCTGTGTGCCTACTGAGTCTCCACTAAGGGTCAGGATTGGAAGGAGCCTGTGGGCTTATGACCGTTCCTGTGACCCTGGCTCCTGGAGCCAAGCTTAACTGGGTGGGGGACACACTCTGGGAAACCACTGTCCTCTCCTTCCCCGGCCAACTTCTCTGACTTAGAAGATGCTGAAGGCCCTTCTAGTTTCTCTCTTTAAAGGCACATCTTTCTTCTTGAGCCCTGAGGCCCCTCCCTCCCTGTCCTTCAGATGTGGGCTCTGGAGCTGTGTCCCTCTTTCAGTCTGGGGAGGCCCCACCAGGACTGGGTGAAGACAGCCGCCAGGGAGCCTTTGTTGGGGCAGAGTAGAAGATGCAGACTGCCTGGGGAGATGGGAGAGGGCAGAGACTGGGGCAGGTGGATGCAGTTCTCCTGGAGAGTTCTGTCCATCCTTGGCACTCACCTTCCAGCACCCTGGCTCCCACCGAGCCTCACCCTGCCCACTGCGGGAACCCTCTGGGGAGCCGGGGTGGGGACGCCCCACATGTCTTGGGCTCAGGTCACTGTGGTGTTTCCCTGCAGCTGAAGAGCAAGTGGGACGAGTCCATCTTCACAAAAGGCTGCATCCAGGCACTGGAGGGCTGGCTCCCGCGCAATATTTACATCGTGGCCGGGGTCTTCATCGCCATCTCCCTGCTACAGGTTCGTTTCCCCTGCCCTTTGTGGCTTCCTTCGTCCTTGCGGGTCGCACCTGTTCATTTGAGCCAGATCGCACGTGGGAAGACTGGTGGCCGAGAGAACGAGGAGGGGGAGGGGAGGCAAGAGCTCTGCGCATCAGAGAAACCAGGAGTTCTCCGGGGTGCCCGGGGCTTGGGAGGAGAAGCCCGCAGCCCCCAAGCAGCCTCCGGGACGGCTGCCACCGCCGTGGGGAAAGCTCGTCGTTCACCTCCCACGTGGTGCCGTGAAGAGGGTGTCTGACGCGGCCCGGGGCCTGCTCCCCGTCCACACACTCCTTCCTCCTTCACCCCGCGAATGTGTGTTGAATGATCTCTGAGGGAAGCTCAGACGCAGAAGTACCTAGAAAAGGAAAGAACAAATTTACTTGCCAAACGGGCAAAGCAGTCAGACTTCAGAAGGACTGGCTCATCAAATGTAAACCACAACAAGAATTTAAAGGGGAAGTAAAATTCCAAGATTTCCGAGTTCATGTTGGTCTGTTTCTGGTAGAAAAACTGTCTTCCCACATGACGATGCTGGTCACCAAGGTCAGATGGCAGCACTGCTAAAATCAGGGAGAACCTTGTTTTTATTGTGGAATCCAGGTTTACAGGAAACATCAAGATTTATTATTTTGCGTCAGAACCAGTCAGGTGACTCTGTTATTTTTGGTTTAACTCTGGGTGCAAAGTATGCCCCAGCTCATGGTATGTGACGTGCATGGCCCTGTCGGAGGCAGGCTTTCTGTGCTGCCTGCCATGTGCCCCAAACTTCTAGGCCCCAGGGATATAGCAAAACAGATCCCAGGTCTCACTTTTTACTGGTGGGTGGGTCTTGTTTTGCCACAGGCCTGGTTGTTTTTCTGTGTGCCGCATCCTCAGTGTGCAGAGCAGGCCTGGGGCTGGTGTGCAGTGCAGGCTTCCCCGTGCACCTTGCCGTCAGGCCCCAACACTGACAGCCTGTCTGGCTTTGGTTTCAGATTTTTGGCATCTTCCTGGCGAAGACCTTGATCTCGGACATTGAGGCGGTGAAGGCAGGCCATCACTTCTGAGGAAGAGAGGTGAGCAAGCAGAGCTGAGCCACGCTGTGGAGGCCAGAGCCCTTCACTCTTGTCAACTCGACATCCAGAGGGAGAGAAGTGGACGCACCCAGCCAGAGCCAGCACCCTGTCTTCGGCATCACCGTGCTGCGACCTCCCTGTTTCTGTTTGCTGGTGCTGAAGACCGAGGGGCCCCTCTGACCTGCACGGACTTGGGACGGAGACCCCCCCCCCCGACTCGGGGTCTACCCAGAGACAGAGAAAATGTCTTTAAGTGGGGGTGGTGACTCTGAGGGACAGAAGGCTCCCGTGGCTGTGAAAAGGGCTTGACTTGGTTCTCCTGGAGACTAAGCGTGTCTGCAGGGCACCCTGGCCTCCCAACTCGTGTCACCGGTGCTGGCCTGGAGGGCAGCCTCATCTGCTGCGGGTGGGACATGGGGGCGGGGGGGGTGGGCCCAGCAGGCACGGACGAGGCTTCTCCCAGCAGCAGAAGGACCTGGGGAGGGCTCGGGGCACAAGTGGACCGTGCCAGCAGAGCCTGTGCTGTCTGCACAAGTTGGGGGATGTTTGCGGGATCCTCAGCCGTGTCCAAGTAAGCCTGAGCCATGTGTGGACGGGTGCCACGGAGCACCCCCTCCGCTGCCCCTGCCAGGGCAAGACCCGCCTCCAGTCTCACAGAGGTGTGCCCGATGGCACGGGGGGTAGGGGGGCGTGGGCAGCGTTCTCCTCTGAGTCGGCTCTCCCTCTCTGAAAGTGTGTAAATAGTTTATTTATAGGGATAAGAATGTTCTCACACCGTTTCTTCATTTCCTCTGGCATTCCCTCCAAGCAGCCTTACATGGTGTCTGGGACTGAAGCCATCCCTCTCAGTTCCCTCGAGTGTCTCAAGAACCAACCCCATCACTTCTCCTTTCCATGCCTCACAGCCCAGGTGCACACGTGTGCTCCCTCTTCCTCTCTGCACCCCCAGCTCACATGCACCCACTCCCCTCCCCAGCTTGGCCTCACTGGCTTCTGGTCTTGGTGCTACTAAAACCGCCACCCGGAACTTGAATCCTGACCCCCCCCCCCTCCGCCGCCTGCCCCCAGGCAAGGGCCAGGGAGCCCCAGCCAGAGGCGGCAGCCCAGAACCTGTGACCAGGGCTCCTCTCGAGGCCACGTGCTAAGGGCCGCTGGTCGGCCTGGCATTTGCCTCTCCCTGGAGAGCGGACCTGTGGCCGGGCCCCTCTGTGGAGCTGGAGACCTCGGCCTGCAGCTGTGTAGAAGCAGCTCGGGATGGTTCTTTTTTTTGGCTAACTTTTGTGATGACCCCCCTCCACTGTCCCCAATCAGGATATCTGTGGTGATCATGTCCACCCTCCCTGGCAGGGCTGTCCTGGGGCTTGCTCTTGGAAATGAAGTCTGTCTTATGTACCGAGTGGTTTGTGCGTCTTTGGCTGGGCTCCTAACGCTTCTCTGGGTCTTGTACCAGTTCTGTCCTCATCGTTCAGGGATTGAGTGCTACCTTCACTGACTTGCCGAAGTGTACATGCTAGTGTGGTGTATACTGGTGGGTGTTTGTTAATGATGGTATGATTTTTGTTTTTGTTCTTGTTTTTTTTTTTCTTTACAATTTTCTCTGTAGACTAGAGGAAGAAGAATGCTTGTGTTTTCAGGAAGTGTGATGCTTTTCTTTGACTGCCAAACTCTTTTATGGAATATATCTTTATATTAATGCTGTTGTCCTGGTGGTTTTTATTTTGAGTGATATCAAGATGGCATTAAGCATTGCAGGGGTAAACTCACCTGCCCAGGGAACCAGGGGGACTGGGTGTGACTCGACACAACAGGACAGTGGAGGGTAACGGCAATCATGGCATAATCCAGAATAACTTTCATCAAGTGATTCGTTTTAGATTCTGTATGCCACTTTCAGTTATCCTTTGTGTGGCGGTTACAGCTGGAACAAGCGGGCTTGTGGCTTGGTTATGCCCAGCTAGAAGCATGAGGCAGAACGTTGACTCTGCAGGCCGGGAGGGAGTGCGTTAGGCTACCTCTGTCCAGCCCCGGGCAGTACGATCCAGGCAAGAGAGCTTGGGGACCCTGGGTGGGGATCTGGGCACAGCTGCCACACGGGTATGTGTGGACCTGCTGGCCCAGCTGTAAAGGGTTAGTGTGCCTCTGACCCATCCTGCCCTGGGGGAGATGGTGGCTCCGGACCCAGCGCTGCTGGTGCGTGGACACCCAACAGCTTAGCTTCCGGCACCGCTCCTGCTGGCCCATCTCTTGAGGTCGACCGGGTGGCCGGACCCCTTGCAAGTCTCTTGACAGCTCACAGTCCAGCTCTGGGTGAAGACTAGCTATGACTTTTTCGAAGTTGAGTTTGTTTTTCAATTAGTTTCCAAAACTCTGGCCATTGGAGCCATCCCCTCTGACTCTGAGCGGCTGGAGAATAGAGAGGAGGCCCAGCGGAAGTGGTGCACGTGTGGCCGTCTCCAGTGAACCCGCCTCCGTACGGAGTCACAGTGCAGCCGTCCCGGCCCTTCCCTGCGCAGCCCCCGTACTCCCTGCCCTCCCAGACCGGGTGGAGGCCAGTGTGACCTGTGCACGTCCCCTCCTCGCCCCCACATATGCTTACTGTAGCGTGTCTGGCTCTTCCCTTGTCCTTCCCGCGCCCCTCCTGCCCCCTCCTCGAAGGACTCGGCTGCATCGTTGTTTTCCCATGTCCTCTCCCACTCACACCATTACATCTTTCCCCATCTCCGAAAGCTTGCCTCGGCCCCCTCGCCTGCCTTCCTTCCCTTCCCGGGGAGGCTCATTGTCTGGGTTTCTGTTCCCCGTCCTGCCACAGCCCACCACTCCCCTCCCTGACTGAAAGCTGCTCACCCCCTCACCAAGCCCCGTTGGCCTCTGCAGCTCCCAACACTCTGGACTGTCTTCTGCTCCTGTGGCCCAGGCTCGCCAGGTCTCTGGCGCTCGCCCACCCGTCCTTGTCATGCTTCCAGCTACGCCTGCCACTGCCCAGCTCACCCGTCTCCGGGGGTGCCCCCTGCCTGAAGGGCAAGGCTGTGAGCTGGGCAGGAAGACCACCTGTGCTGGTGCATGGGAAGCCTGTGCTAGATCTCCCCCGCACGAGTAACAATAAAAATGAATTGGCTACAGAACCTCCTGGAACATAGGAGGTGCTCTGGGTACTTAACAGTTAAACGTAGTCACCAGAAGAGCTCAGAGGAAGCCATTTTCATGCCCAAATGTGAGACTCAAAGAAAGGGGAGCTCCTGTTGAGGATTGGGAAGATCTAGATTCAAACTCTGGAAGCCAGTCCCAGAACCTTTACCTATTAAAATAGGCCTGGCTCCTCCTGCTGAGCAAAACCACATCAAGGGCAAGCCTGGGGAGAAGCAGTTTTCTGAAGATTGTCCAGCTAATGGGCTCTGTGGCAGATCGACAGGCATTTGGAGAAGGCAGGGGAGTGCTCACTCCTGCCTCTGGACCTGGATTTGGGAGAATATGGTTCTCAGCCTTCCTCAAGGCACTCAGATCATCACAGTGCTCAGCCTTGCCCCTGAGGCCCTGGGTTTGGGCAGCAGGCTCACTCCCCTGCAAGGCCAGAGCTGCTCTCCACCCAGCAAGCCCACAGAGGTCTTTCTGCACCGGGTGGTGAGGAATTGGACATGGCCTTCTCTCCAGGGGATACTATCTAGGGGACTGCCACCGGGATGGTAATGGGCACTCATCTGAGTGTGGGCCTCTGCAATCTTAGGGACCCCGAGTGGAGAGCTCCCCCGAAGAGGAGACCAGCAGAGAAGGAAAAACCTCAGTCTCGGTAGCAGGGGCCACCTGACCGCTCTTGGTCAGCAGCCTCAGAGCACGGACTGCAGAGGCACAGAGAAAGGCGAGGGGCTATTGCAGTGGTCCCAGCATCCTCGGAAGGTCCTGCCCAGGTGTCAAGTGCTCAGGCCTGCCACCCAGAGGCGCGGTGCCTTTAGCAGTACGAGGTGAGTAGAATGACTGTATGACCTTCATAGGTGGGCATTTCTAGTTCAAGGGTCATGGTGTCTGTCCATGGGCCACAGGATTTTTTGGTTGTCTGCCCCTAAACTGTGGTAACTTGTCCCAAATGATGGATCTTGGTAAAGAGGCTTCCGCAAGCTTGTGTTTGTTACTCAAGAGGTTGCTGCCTGGCCTGCCAGGGCCGACAGGACACTCCGAAAATCCAGAGAACCGTATACCTTTAGTGCTGTTTTAGCTCTCTGCCAACCCAGCAAGACCTGGCTTTTCCTCCTCTAGACGGCAGTAAAAAGGTATGTTCATTCTCAGAATGCCGTTGGGGTCTCCAGGTGCTTCCAGAAAACCTGCCGTGGGCGCTGTGGAATAAGGACTGGGGAGTGACTTTGACAGGAGGAAAAAGCCAAGCCTACATTCAAGCGGATGCTGTTCTTCTGGTGAAGTGACCGATTTCAGAGAGCCCAGCTTTGGAGGAGGAGGAAATGAAGTATTCTTCAGGAAGGTCAGAGACCATTCATTCTTTCTTCCGCCTTCTTCCCATGCCCCACGTCTCATACTTCAGCGGGGGCTTCGGAGGCATGGTTTAATAACTACCAAAGTAAATTATCACCTTTTATCACCTCAAACAACTTTAAAACTAGTCATTTTATATGTATAAGCAATCTAAACGTGGGCTAGTATAATGGGGAAAAGTACGGTTCCCGTTCCCCAGAGGCAACCGGTACTAAGTACCCTTCCAGAAAATGTGGATGCATATTCAAATATCTTTTTCACACAAATGAGGATCATGTTTTACATAGTAGTCAACAATTAATTTTACTTAGTATATCTCAGAAATCTTTCTGCATGAGTGCATACCCATCCATGGTGCATTTTCACAGTCACACTGCCCACGGCAGGACCGGCCAGCCAGTGAATGAACCTTGCTCTATTCAGGGGAGTATGTTTACAGTTGCGGGTAACAGAAAACTCAGTTCAAACTGGTTTATACAATGAGGGGAGGTTTTTGGCTCCTGAAACTGGAAAGTCCGGAGGTGGGGTGAGCTTCGGGGTTAGTTTGATCCAAGTGGCTCAGCGACGCCAGCAGGATCTGGTTTCTTTTATTCTCTGTGCTCTGCCTTCCATAGTGTCCCCATGGGCCAGGGCAGAGGGAGGGCAGACCCATCACGGACAAGCTGGGGCCTTACTGTGATGGGAATGGCATCGTAGTGAAGCCAGTGAGGGAAGCTCCCCGCCACCCCCACCCCAGAACCCCCTGCGCTCGTCCTTCCCACTCAGACCACACGTCAGGGCGACAGACCCCTGTGGAAGGGGGTGAACATCGAGGAGGCTGCCAACAACCCTCATGATGATTTTGTGGGTGGATGTTTTAGTTGGTGTGGTGTTTTGTTGTTACAAGGGCTTATAAAAACTCCATGGTATCTTGTTGTCAGAATGACTTCTAGAGGGGTTTGCAAGGAAAACCTGTTTTTAAAGGAGTTCTCCAAGGCGGTGGACTGACACTGTAATGATCGGGTAGTTGGGGCTGGGGCATGCCTATTGCTGCCAGCCCATAGCTGGTGTGGTGAGGGTGCTGTGAGCATGAGCATCTGTGATGGAAGTGTGGGCTGGTTCTGGGACAAGGGGGTAGATGGGTGGGGGGCGATGTCTCTCCAAGGACCCCTCCCACTAGCCTGTGGCCCTCTAACAGCACAGCTTCCACAGAGAGGCTGAGCATGATGGGCAGGGGAGCCCTAGCCCATGGGAACAGTGTTGGGTGGCATCCTTGTTTATCAGTGAGGACAAGCACTCAAGACCCAGTGCTGCCCCTGAGGTTGCATAGGGAGGGAGATGCAGAGTCTGGGCAGGTACAAGCCTGGCCCCTGCCAGCCTGGCTGAAGCTCTAGGATGCGACACTTGTGAAGTCAAGGAGCCGCCCCATCTCCCCGCAGGCCCTGGTTCCTTGCGATGGGGCTCTGGGGTGCAGACAAGCTCACACGGCCTGATTGCGCCCCCTGGCGGCTGGGCGCTCCTGGAGAAGGGAGGTGCCCACGCTGGGCTCCGCCTGCCCGCAGGGCCACTTCCCCAGAGAGGCGGGTACATGTGAGAAGAGAAGCTGGGAAGGGAGAGGAGGAGGTCTTGGCTCCGTGGGGGTGCAGCCCCCGTGGAGACGGGGATGGGTTGTGGCGGCCTCTTCCGCTCCCCTGCAGCACCAGGCTGTGGAAACCAGAGTCATTATGTGAGAGGGGAGGGAGTCTGGACCCAGATTCGATTGGGTTAGGACCTGTGCTGTGGTGGGAAGAAGCCTGAGCCTGAGCTGGAGTTTGGGCTCAAAAAAAAAAAAAAAAAATTAGTACCTCAGTTTGTTCATTTTAATTATCTTTCTTTCACAAAGTGCCCAGGAATATTCCGTTCATTAGTGGAGATGAAAGAACACGGGGAGCCATGACTCCCCAGCCACCTACTCCTCACTAACCGTGTGGCTTTTAGCAAGTTACTTGAGCTCCTTGAGCCCTCTTTGTAAAATGGGGACAATAAGGGCCCCACATGGGGTTGTCTTGTGGATTACATGAGCTGAGGTGGTTTACCCATCACTTAGTCTGTGCCTCCCGAATTACTGCCGATAAATTAGGGAAGAGCAGCTGGTGGTGGCGACCAGACTGGGTTCCAAGTCACAGCTCAGGAGCCCAGCCAAACGCCCCACTTCTCTGTCTGTTCAGGAACAAGGCTCAGAGGTCTGTAGGGAGACTCAGCAGGCATTTGGAGTTCAAGGTCTGTTTGCTTTCTGTGTCATAGAGGTGGGGAGGCAGGAGTGGGTGTCGCTTCTCGCCTGGAGTTTGGGTCCTGCCAGAAACCAGCACAACCCCAGAAGTCTCTGGAGCCCCTGGAGGAAACAGAGTGGTTCTCGCCCTCCTAGGGGACGGGGGCTGTCCGCAGAGGCCAGCCCACGGGAACCAGCGTAGCGGCACAGCCTGCCTTCAAGGGGCTCAGGAGGGATGACGTGGGGAGAAAGGGGTTCGAGGAGCTCGGGATGGGAACTAGGTGCTGCAGGAGACAAAGCCCCAGACGCGGCAGGACATCACATTTGGACAGGGTGGACCCCATCTGGTGCCACTCTGGTCAGGAGCACAGATGCGCAGGGAAGTGCCAGGACCCGCCGAGGCCTGAGTGGAGGCCGAGGCCAGGAGGCCTTCTGTGTCCTTTCCACTGCTGACGGGTGAGGGTGTCCTTCCAGGTGGTGGGGCAGCCTTAGCAGGACAGAAGCCAGGAGCCAGGGAGACGAGTGTGTGTGTGTGTGTGTGTGTGTGTGTGTGTGTGTGTAAGACAGGTGCATGGGCCCTCACTGTGCTTGCTCCCAGGAGAAAATCTTTGTGTCTAAAACCCTGCGGGAGCCCCCAGGGTCAGGAAGGTTGCCGGGTCGAGGTTCTAAGGCAGTGTGAATCCAGTGGTCTCACCTGTGTACTCACTGCTTCCGTCTTGCTGGTGGTTCTCCCTCTCGCCCTCCCTGCCCAGCCCATTCAGCCTAGCTGTGCCTTTGCAAAGAGCCCAGGGTTGCGGGCCCTGTTTGTAGGTGATTGTTTGGATGCATTCATCTGTCTGCAGGAACTGGGCCCAGGCCTGGTGTTTTCTTTTATTTTTAGACCTATTTTTCTTTTTCCTGTTTTATAAAATGAGCACCACTGTGGGCCTATCTGGACAGAGTTGGAGCAGCCTCTGGGAGGGACTGAGCACCCCATCTCTGGAGGTATGCAAGCCCAGGCTCGCCATCTCCTGGTGGGGGTGATACAGGTGGGGCTGGGAGCCGGTTTGCGCTGCATGGACCATGGACAGTCTTCCTTCCCATCTCTGACAGGCAGTGGTCTTTAGTGTGCCTTTTGTTAGAGATTATGTCCCCCCCAAAAAGCATTACTTATGTAATATTACATATGCATGTGTCAAAAATTTTATTTAACTCATTAATTAAGTGAGGGAGCTGGTAAGATTAACAGTCAGTTTGAAGGAGAAATCACATAAATCTATATGGAGTAAGGGAATGTGAAGACTGGCTTTTTCTTCAGGGGACGAGGGGGTAGTTGGGCTTCATTCAGATATGTACAGTTAGGCACGTCCATAGACAAGAAATATTTGGCATTAACTCTACAACTTAGTTGTAAAGCCACTCAAAGGTAATGAAAGCCTAGAATCAGATCATTGGAAGAGTGTGCTCTAAACAATGCATTGTTTTCCACCAGAGACACCCAGAATCTTTTCTGCTTATTCCAAAAAAGATTTCCTTCCACCTCTCGTCTTTTTGGCCGAGAGAGAGGTGGAAGGAAATCTTGCTCTTTCACAGCGAGAGAGGGAACACAAGCATGGGGAGTGGCAGAGGAAGAGGCAGTCTTTCCACTGAGCAAGGAGCCCAATGCGGGACTCCATCCCGGGACCCTGGGATCATGACCTGAGCCGAAGGCAGACGCTTAACCGACTGAGCCACCCAGGCGCCCCACAGCTTAATTTTAATAAATAGGACCCAAGCAGGGAATCCAAAGGAGCCAATCTCTTACTGAAAAATGGAGTCTGGGGGTTAGCATATCTCCCAGGTGCCCTAAGTAAAGGTCAGCCCCTGTTGGAGGCGTCCTGGGGGCACCGGCTGCCCCCTTAGCAATGGACGGATGCCTTAGGTCCTCAGGCTGTGTCTGCTGTGTTGAGAGCCTGGGTGTCAGCCAAGCTGCTTTAGTCCCATGGCCACCCCTGCAGACCCATCAGGAGCCACATTCAAAACTGAATTTGTCTTCTCTTCCCCCAGTACCAAATCCCGCCCACACCCCAAACCGTTCCTCTCCATTTTCTCCCATCTCAGCTGAGGGCCCCGCCATCCACGCAGCAGCCAAATCCAGGAGGGTGGGCATCATCTGGGTTCTGAGCATGCCGTCAGCTCCTCCGTGGTCAACAGAATGCCAGGACATCCGCTCTCAAAGAAGTGTCTCATCTGTTGGGGAGATCGGGAGATCCTTAACGCTTCACTCCCTGGGACAAGCAACATGACAGATTGTGGTGTCCTTCTTCCTTTCGTCCTGCTGCACGATTCCTGGGACTCCCCTGGTTTGTAACGTGTGCATTTGAGTCTCTTTTCAAGCATAATTGCATTTCGAAGTGAGTTTACCTCCCCTCCCCGTGGATTGCCAAGTGACTCCTGGAAGCTGCGGGGGTGGGGGGGGTGGGGACGGCTTTCAGTGGTGTTCTCCCATAAGAAAGAGACTCTGTGATGGACGCTCTGTTGTGGGTCCGTGCTCGCAACACAGCACTCAAGAAAAGAGCCAGGTATCTGGTGCCGTTTCCTCAGTAAAATGGGGATAGTTCTTCCAACCCACAGCTTAGGTGGTAGCGCTGAGGTTCTCAAGCTGTGGTCCCTAGACCAGCCGCTGCAGCATCACCTGAGAACTTGTCAAACGTGCACGTTCTGTGGTCCCGCTCCAGACCTCTGGAGTCAGAAACTCGGGCATGGAGCCCAGTCATCTCTTTAACCAGTCGTTAGATTCTAATGCATGCTCTAGTGTGAGGACCACTGCATGAGGGTACTGTCAGAATAGACTAGCCACTATAGCAAGCATCCCTTACACTTGAGTGGCTTTGAAAAATAATTATAGGTCTTTGGAGTCATTTCTAGTCTGCTGGTGGTTGGGGAAGAAGGGGGAGGAGGGGAAGTCTTTAAGAATGAAGCCTGGGAAAAAAAAAAAAAAAAAAAAAAGAATGAAGCCTGGGTGGCGGGCACACTACTCGTGCTCCCATTCCATTGGCCAGAACACAGATGCTACACTGAATCACAAGGGCCTGGCAAAGGTCTAGCTGCATGCCTAGGAAGAAGAGGAGAGGTCTGATCTTGGAGGACACCAGTGGTCTGTGCCCCAAGTCCCATAGTTTAGGGAAATGAAGACCGGAACTGGATTTACTGTCTTCCAGAATCTCCCTCTGCAAGGAACGGAGGGCACCGTCTGCGCAGGGCTGGCTTACGGTCTCTGTTCAGCCACGTCATGGCTCCACAGAGTGGCTGGAGGCGCTGGGCACCTCACCGTGCTGGGCAGGGCTGCGCACTCCACAGGGCCAGGGATGTGGTCTGCGAGCAGATCAGGGGGCACGTGGTACACGGAACTCCTCTCAATGCCTTTCAGGTTGGCCACTGGGGAGGTGTGGGCACAGCTCCATGGCCCTGGAAGGACTGTCCAACTCAGAACACGAGTAGGGGGGGGGGGGGTGGGGGGGAGGTTAGGCTGGGGGGGGGGGGGGGGGGAGGGACCTGTTCCAGCTCAGCATGATGGGTTTAAGCCCTGGATCCCTTAGCAGCTGTTTGGCCTTGACAATAAGGCCTTGGGATAATAGAATCTCTTGCTTCATAATCTTGTTCTGAGAATTAAGTGAGATAGAGGAAGAACACCCTTGGCACAATGCCCACTGCACACGGTGGGTGTGTAAGAGATAGTGGCAGCTCTTCCCTGCTTGCTCGGAGGAGGAGGACAGGGGATGGGGGCTCAGGGTTCCCCTGGTGCCTGAGAACCTGGCCTGCGGGGTCTGGGCTCACTTGAGTTCTGAGCTGCTTGTAAGGCGAGGGCACTGCTTCTCTCTAGGGGTCAGGACGGTCTCGGGGCCTGGCGGGGATGGGCCTGCGGTTTGGATGTGACCGTGTCTGCAGCTGCGAGGTGCCACAGGCTCGGCTCACGGGCTGTGTGGTCCTCAGCAGGTACCAGGGGACCTGGGGCAGGGGGGACTTTGTGGGCAGTTGCCTGTGGTGTAAGCCTGTTTGCCATCTGGGGCTCCAGAGTTGCCTCCTGCCCTCTGAGTTAATAAGAGTCAGTCCTGGGCTGAGACTTAGCCAATCTGTTCTGTCCATGCTCAGTGGCCTTGTTCCGGGGGAATTTGCGTGGAGTAGAGTGTTTTCTAATTAGCAGGACTAGGGCTCTAGGGGAGATTTGGGGGGCAGGAGCGCGGGCAAGGGTCAGTCATCTGTCTGTGTCACATGGTGGGTGGGGAGGTGGCAACTGGCTCAAAACTTCCTCCACCCCGAGGACCCAGAGCTTCCTTGTCCACTAGCTGTGTTCAGGCACGAAGGGCTCTCCTCCTCTAGAAACTGCTCTTCCTTTGCTGTGTTCCTGGCTTCCTGGAGGGAGACGGAGGGAGTGGGACGGGGCAGCAAGGAGGTGGGACGGCTGCGTTCAGAGAGAGACCTGGGGTCTGGGAGGACTTCCTGTGAGAAATGGACCCTCAGGAAGAGCCCGTCGAGAGGCTCTGCCCCAGGTGCCTCGCCTTCCTGGAGTGCTGTCCACCTCTGAAGCATCTGTGGCAAGACAAATAGAGAGAGAGCCAAGCCACTGGGGTGGTCAGGATGCATGGTTGGCGGTGACCTTAACTCAAGCAAGGTTATCAGTTCCTAGGGCAGGGGGGGGACAGTGGGACACTCCTAGACAGAGAGGGAGCAGGGCTTTGGGAGGGGACCTCACACCACTGGGGTGTTCCCTCCATCAGTGTCTCTGCTTCTCTCTGCATGTCGGCCCTGTTCTCTCCTGCTGCACACCAGAGACCTTCTCCCCTGTGGGGAAACAGGAGGGTCAGCAGCAGTTAGAACTGTAGTAGAACATCTGCCAATTTCCTCCCCGTGAGGGCATGTCCGTCTCAGGCCTGAGTCACACGGGTGTCCGGGGAGGCTCTCTGGGCAGACAGAATTAGCTGCCGCAGCTCACCACCCCCACCTCATATTTTGATTCACCCAGTTAGTGAGGAACCAGGTCCCAGACTGAGGAGCAGAGAAACAGCTCACCCTGGCACCTACTATGTGCCTGGCTGACTGACATAACTTACCTTACCTGTTTAATGCTGACAGAAGCCCCGTGTGTGCCACGATTACTTCTGCACGTACAGAAGAGGAAGATCGAGTCATGGAAATGTCAGGGCCGGTCGGCTGCAGGCCTGGGCTCTGCCGCCATTATCATAAATGCGCGGTTGTGTCTGCAAATGTCAGTGTGGGTGTCCTTGCCGTTCAGAGGTCCTTGGATCCCACCAATTCCATGGTGGGGAGAGCCCCAAGCCCTTCCCACGATTTCCACTCATTCCAGGGACCCACGCTCCCATGGGCCTCCGACTCCTGTGCCCCTTCGTGGTCTCTGTTTTGTCCCTCCTCTGTCCTGGCAGAATTGGATAAAGGTTAAGGGTGGTTTTTTGTTTGTTTTTTGTTTTTCCCGTAAATAAGAAATCTCCTCATAGCAAACCTTTTGAGAACTAAATCATTTTGATGAAGATTTGGAACAGCCTTGGGTTGTGTGGTCATCTGTCATTTCTCTCTCTCCTTCCCCTGCTATCTCTGCCACTCTGGAACCTGATGTCCAGGCTGGGTTCCATGGAGCTGCTCAGTTCACCCCAGCGTGGCCTCCCAAATGGGCACATCCAGACCTAGCAAGGTTTCCAGATCACAGGCCTTTCTTGTTATTTATTTATTTTAAAAAAGACTTTATTTATTTGAGAGAGAGTAGGAACAGGGAGGAGAGGGAGAAGCAGGCTCCCCCCCGCGGAGCAGGGAGCCCGATCAAGCAGGGCTTGATCCCAGGACCCTGGGATCATGATCTGAGCCAAAGGTAGGTGCTTAACCAACTGAGCCACACAGGCACCCCTAGGGTTTTCCTTTTAATTGGACCTACTTAGTCTCCTTCAAAGGCAGTAGGGGTTAAAATATTCTTTTCCTCATTCATACAGCGGAGACCTTACTACACATAATATTTTACAACCTGCTTTCTGTCTTAGCAATACATAATGGGCACCCTTTTATGTCAACAAATATTCTTCTCAACAGCAATTCTAATGGCTGTAGAGCATTTTATCCTATAGACCTGCCATGATTTACTAATCTATACCTCATATATTGAACGCATCAGTTACTTTGAAATGTTCGCTCTCATGACTAATACTGCACAGACTCCAGAGTTCCCGGCCACTGGTAAGGATGTCCTGGTAGGATCACAGGTGACAGACAAGGATCTAGCTAACTATTTCTGGTCTGTTTATTGAATGTTCATTCTTTCCCCCCCTATTATTAATTGCCATTTTGACCATGTACTAAATAATTACGTATACGTCTGGATCTGTGTCTGGGCTTTCTCACTTTAGTCTGCCTGTTCTTGTGTCAGGACTGAAATGTTTGCTTTATAAGTTTGAATTGGGCAGTACAGAGTTTCTGTACTTCTGTATGTTTTCTAGGCTGTTCTCATCTATTCATTTTTTTTTTTTTGGTTGAACTTGGCAATCTTTTTATCAAGCTTTTCCCCCACTTCCCAATTAATTTCCAGGTTTGGCCTGAAATTTTACTAAATGTATACATTAATTTGATATTGTATTAGTTATGCATTGCTGCATAACAAATTACCCCGAAGTCTGACAGCTTAAAACAACATATATATATCTTATACCTTCTCTGAGGGTCAGGAATCTAGGAATGACTTAGCTGGATGATTCTGGGGAGGTTACAGTGCAACTGCCAGCCCAGGGCTGCAGCCTTACCTGACCAGATCTCTGCCCACTTCACTCACGTGACTGTTGGCAGGAGACGTCAGCTCCTTACCACGTGGGGCTCACATGGCTTCCCCAAAGAGATGAGAGAAAGAGAACCCAAAGGAGAAGCAGAATGCCTTTTACGCCCTAACCTCAAAAGTGACAGATCACCATTCTAGCATTTTCTATTGATGGCGCAGAGCAGCCCTGACACACGGGGGAGGGGGGTCACGAATACCAGGAATCACGGGGAGCCACGTTGGATGCCCACGAAGATAGATGGATTAGACATTTTCTGGCGTTAGATCTTTCTGACTGTGAATGAGACCATGTGGTGAGGGCATGGGGGTGCGGCGGGGGTGGGGCAGGGCAGGGGCCCTACAGCAGGGCCATCAGTCTAATACCCCAGAGATTTAGCTTATCGCCTCATGACTCCTACATCCAAGTCTCCAGCAACCTCACTTCAGAGTCCTGTTCTGGATGCCTCCCCAGCATTTGCATGGGCTCCAATCAATTCCCCCTTGCAAGTTCCTTCATTCATTCTCTTCCAATAGATATTTATCTAATAGCACCTGCTGCAGCCTAAGCAGTGTGGCAGGCACAGAGAACATCAGTGAAGCACTGCTTGCTATCTAATAGGGAGAGAGAGAGAGAAACACACAATAAGTAAAATGGTGTTTTACAAAGCAAGTAATAAGGAAAAAAAATCAAGCAGAGTAGGAGAGGATCAGGAGTACGGAGGAGTTAAAAGTTAGAGCAAAGACTTGAAGGAGGTGAGGTTCCAGATGGAGGGAAGATCCCGGGGAGGCCCTGCGGAGGGAGCATGCCTGGTGTGTTTGTGGAAAGCCAAGGAGGCCAGCAGGCTGGGGCACAGGTGGAGGGAGAGGGCTGGGAGGGCTTATCTGAGGGGGTGAGGGTGGAGAGAGGCAGATCCTGGAGTGCCTTGTGGGCCCCTATGAGGACGTGGGCTTTGACTCTGAGTAAAATGGGGGCCATGGCAAAGTTTTGAGCAGAGAATGCCATGATCTGATTTAAGTTTTAAAAGGATTTTAAGTAGGGCGCCTGGGTGGCTCAGTCGTTAAGCGTCTGCCTTCGGCTCAGGTCACGATCCCAGCGTCCTGGGATCGAGCCCCACATCGGGCTCCCTGCTCAGTGGGAAGCCTGCTTCTCCCTCTCCCACTCCCCTGCTTGTGTTCCCTCTCTCGCTGTGTCTCTCCCTGTAAAATAAATAAATAAAATCTTAAAAAAAAAGATTTTAAGTAGATGCAGAGAGAACCTGATAGGAGGCTCTGGGATAAGAAATGTCTCCCAAGTCTCCCCTCCTTGGTCCCCACTGGTAGCTCCCATACAGTCCTTATCACCTCTCTCCTAGACTTTGGCCAAAGTCGGCCGGCTTTGCCTGCCTCCTGCTCTTCCAGCCTCCTCTTGGCACCAGCGCCAGAGCTGAGAAATGCCTCCAAGCCCTTCTCTGGTTTAGGAACTTCTGATGACATGAGCAGTTCATTCATCCCGACACTCTAACCTTCCTGGCCAGGGAGCTCTGGCTTTGCCTGCATCTCCCTTCCTCCCGGTGGTGGGTGCTGGTGTGGAGGCCCATTATTTGGAATCACATTTAAGGACTTTCGAAAGACATTTTGCTTCAGTTGTATGTATTCTATATCTTACTGTATAAAACAATGCAGAATTGCCTATAGTGGTCGCCCTTCCCCTTCCAAGAAGAAAGCAAGAAGCCATGTGTGGGGGTGCCTGGGTGGCTCAGGTCATGATTCCAGGGTCCTGGGATGGAGCCCTGAGTCGTGCTCCCTGCTCAGCAGGGAGTCTGCTTCTCCCTCTCCCTTGCTTGCCTCTCTGCCTACTTGTGCTCTCTATCTCTCTGTCAAATAAATAAATAAAATCTAAAAAAAAAAAAAAAGCCACGTGTGCTCCGTATTTGTCCTTTGTCTACACAAAAGTAATGATACAAATTCAAATAATGAATTACACTGCACACAGTATTCTGTGGGTCACCTTTTCCTTTTATCTGCCGTGGATATCTTCCCTTGCCAAAGCAGACAGTTCCACCCATCCTTTGTGACGGGTGTAATGTTCGGGACTGAGCAGCCCCCCCATCCCACAGAGGGACGTTCAGGTGGTCTCCAGTCCCTTTGCGTGTACTCCCGCTCCAGAAGCAATTGCGTTAGCGTGCAGAATTAAACAAATCACGCGGCCAATGACAAATGAAAACAAAACAAGGGCATTGAAAAGCGGCAGACAACCATCTGCAGACCCAGGGGCCCCCTCGCCTCGTTTTTAGTCGCCGGTATTCCTGTCGTCTGCGCGGCCCCTGCCCCTGCGTTCGCGGCCATTGAGGGCCACAGTGTCCCCGACGCACTGTTTGGTGGTCTCCTCTCCGCGCGGATCCACCTCTCCGCGCCTGGTGCCCCGGGGCTCCGGGCAGGCGGGCTCCCGGGCTCCCCGAGGCGCCCACACCGGCCGCCAGGGGGCGCCCCAGGCCGGGCCGAGCGGCCTCCTCCGCAGGGCAGGGCGGGCGGGAGGCGGCGCCGAGCGGGCAGAGCGGCAACAACCCGTGCCCGGCGAGCGCGTCTTTCCGGAAAGCGGATCCGGTGGCGCCCGGGCTGCGTTCGGCTGGAGGCTCGGCCTCCCGCCCCACCGACCTGGGATTGCCCACCCACCCTTTCCCGGCAGAGTGGCCACCACATGGGTGCCATCGGCATCACCCCCGCCCGAGGCGCGCGTGCAGCCTGCCCATTCCTGCTCTCCGTCCCCTCCGGCCGTTCTCCCTGCAGGCGTCTCTCCCCGCCCAAAGAAAGAAGGAGGAGGGGGCCAGCCGGAGGCCGGACTCCCCTCGTGCCCCTGTTGCCTCTGCTCTGGACACCGTTCTCCCACCCAGCCCCAGTTAGGGCGCGGAGAGCTGTGCCGGAGGCAAGGGAAGCCCTCGCTGTAAGAAACCGGGAACCGGCACACAAGTAGGGGAGTCACTGGAATATCTGAGCTGGGAGGACAGAGAAGAGAAGGGCGTGGCGAGTCCGGGGCCGCGGCTGCGGATGGTCGAGCCTCAGTGTGGAGGCTGCAAGGTCTGGGTCGCGGGGCAGCAAGCCAGCTAGGCCTAGGCGAGGGGCAGCCTGGCCCTCCACACTTGTTTTTGACCCTGTGGCTTGACACTCATCCCAACAGCTTCATTATTCTCCTGTTGTGTGCTAACCCAGCAGCCGGAGAAGAGAACCCAATCACACCTGTGGTCCCTCACCCTCGGGTGTCT